GTCAGCAGCAGCATCTGATCAATATGTGATCCATGATGTAAATCTGTGGATCTGTGTTTGATTACTCTGCCTGGCTTTCTCAAGGACCAGGATGTGACACAAACATCTGAATTATGGAACTGAAAGTGAAAGTAGTCAAACTGAAGTTTTAAWAAAMCAAAATAMAGTTTCAAAGTAAATKAATTCAGATACAAAACTTTAAATTTATTTTCAAACCAATGCATTCAGTTTAAATTAAACACATTCAGACTGACTTCCTGCTGGCACAACATTGATTCCATACGTTGTCTGTTGTTTCTCCTCCAGCTGACGGAGGAGCTGAGCCTGGCCAGCGTGGACACTGACACCGCGCTGCAGCTGCACCTGAACATCAGCAGCCTCAGCAACCGAGACCACATCCTGGAGTTGACCCCGGCCCTGTCCACGCTCAGCGACCACGTGCGCTACAACATCGACTACGGCAACGAGGAGGGCCTCTTCAAGATCAACCAGCGGGAGGGCGTCAGCTACCTGCACCTGAGCAAGAAGAAGGCGGTGCTGCCGGGAGCGTACGCCCTGCAGATCAGCAGCGTGCCCCTCTACAGGAAGCAGGAGCTGGACGAGCTGGAGGACCGGCACGATAAAGACTACCTCACAGGGCAGCTGGGAGACGTTCTGAAGATCAGGGTGCAGCTCCTCCTCCATTAACCATCACACTGTCAGCAGCCGCTGGGCCAGAGTCGGCAGCAGAACACCCGACTCTGGCCCAGCGGCTCCAACAGAGCAGAGCTCGCCACCAAAGAGACRAGACCAAAGATGATTCTACATATCATGGAGCAGCCAGCAGCTGAGGAGCCAGTGTTYATTGGAACAAAGGTTCCAGCTGTTTGAAGCACTTTGGAGGAGGAGAGCTTTTTAATCTGGGTGGAGATGTTGTCTGATGATATGTGGAATCAGCCTCTGTGAAGGACACCAGGGCTGCACACAGCTCTGACACATGGATTTGTTTGGACTCCAGAAGGCTGAGTCACTATAGTCTGAAATCATTTCCCCTTYGAGTAAATCAATGACTGAAGACATCTGGAGCAGATGTTTGACTCCWTGAAGGCTGAGGAGGACAGGAACCAACCGTGGACTGATCTGTGAGCTTGAAGGAACTATTTAAACTCTTTGTTTCCACCTGTCCTGATACAATCATATCTCCTGGTGCTAACGCTCTGTCCCCGCTCAGCGCCGTGCACAAGTATTCACCCCCTCCCCGGGCAGAAAACTGTTCTGCTGCTTTTTTTATTGGGTTTAATCTCATTCAGTCATCAGATTAAACTACCGTATTTATTCATGTATAATATGATCTCATGTATAATACAACCCCCCTTTTTTGAGCTAAAAAAGCAAAAAAAAAATTAATCCTCAAACTACCTCCAATTTCATCCAGACTTCAAGAT